TACCTTGGACCTACCTCCGCGGTATCGTACAATACAATGCTTGAACTATGATTTTCGGAACAGCTGATTGGCTTTGATCGTGATAGTGTGAACACTGATAATTACCCGTAAAATAACGTTTTTCTTCCCCTTTGAAAAGTTTTCTTCAAAAAGTATTGAAGCAACCGGGTCAACCTGAATTTGAAATAATTTTATTTACGTTGGTATGTTGCGTACGACCGCKATCTTAGTGTCATACAGTATGTTGTATTGGCTCTTTATTTCAAGCTTCTGTATCAAAAATCAAAAATAAGGAACAAAACGTTTGTGTTTCGTAAGTCAAGGTCACCTTCGGAAGGCCGAAGTACTWGGCCAAATTAGATTGGAAGTTATCCGAATCGATTGTCTTGGTACATAAATTTCAGTTGACACCACTATCGGGATATTCAGAGTATCGAATCTAGCTGCAGTAGAGGGGCTGCGTACTGAAAGGTACAAAAGGAGTGATGGCCGCGTTCGAAAATGGTGGGAACGATCCAAGTCGTGAAACCGCAGAATCCCAACAAAATCCAAACAACAATAATCGGTCACCCCCGACTCCGACCTCGCGTCGCCGACGGCGAAAGAAGAAGTGAGTCCATGCCTATCTTTCTTGAACAAATCACCGCAAAGTCACAAATGATGCGATGTTTGATCTGAAATTGAACACTGTTTACGTGTGGCTGTGAAGGAGCACAGATCGATGGAGGAAATCAACTTTTCCATTTCGCATTGTTYCATCAACATTGTTGCTGCCAAAATCAAACTCATCGACTGTTTTCGAAATTTAATTTTAAGGTTCGCCGTGTCTACTCGATGGGAGCGTGAAGTAGCACAAAATGGTCCCGTCAAAGACTTTCATCGATACTGGTGCTGTTGTGCACGRCGCTTGGGGAATATGTTTGTGTTGTGCGAGCGAACCGATGGAACTCCTATTGTTATTGCCGGACCATGCTGGCCATTTTGTACCTTTGTAACATTACCTCTTATACTGGCAGTGTCGGCGGCAGTAGCATATTTTGTCATTATTTCGGACGACTCTCCCTTGGTGAGTTCTAAGTGGTTGGTTCGATGTTAGGGCGCTGTGAAATAGAAAAGGGCTAATTAACGGCGTTCACAGAGAATGCCACATGAGGACTCATTTATGTTTTAGATTCGGCTCCGGAATATTTTCCGATTKCWACTGGTATTTCTGACCTTCCGTGCTTTTTGCTCCCAACGCTCATCTGGAATCTTTAAAGCCKATCTGGGTTGCTTATATTTATTTTCCGGTCGTCGGATTTGTCCTGGCATCCTTATTTTGCGTGAGCTGCCAAGATCCCGGCTTGATGGAGAGGGTTACCGATGAGGAAGCCGGAAATGGTGGCTGGTTTTGGAACGAACAAGTCGGAAGTTTTCGACCACCAGGTGCTTTGTATTGCCGGGAATGCGGTGTCTTGATACAAGACTATGATCACTTGTGCGTAACATCATTGCATTTCTTGGATTTKTTTGTTTCTCGACTTTGCTTCATTCATTTTTTCTTACACGAATTTATTTTTGCGATTTCGTCATATCCTTACAGATGTCCATGGACAGGCACTGGTGTTGGGCGAAAGAATATGATGGCATTCAAACTTTTCGTCGTGGGTGTGAACGTTCTGTGCTACTTTAGCATGATTCTTGTGATAGTGGCATTGTTGCGAGGCTTGCGGTTGGAAATAGAGGAAGAAGGGTAAGACCKAATGATTCATACGGTTGAACGATTCACCCGGATCAATTGAACTGGCATTGTTATCTTTTGGCATCTCCAATGGGGTTTTGTTCTTTCACTACACTAGAGRCGAGAAGAATTTTTTCTCTTCTTTCTCAAGTGGTGTGATATTGCTTTCGCGAGATGTTGGGTTTCTATGRAGCAACGCAACAGTTTGATTTTCTTCGTATTCCAACTTGAAGAAACGAAATAACAGATGGGATTATTTGATGTCTTGTAGATATAAAACAGAAGCATCATGATTGTGGTATATGGTTTCAAACCTCATCAGTATTTCCTTGGAAAACGTTAACTGGATTTTGTAGAAAATAAGGACAGTATTTTTATAATTTATTATACCTCGTATTAAACGATATAKTGTACTGCACAGTACCGTACAACACCTCTTAATCGTCATGTGCAACCCTCGCAGATTCGCCGAATAACAAAGTATCGGCCATGAGAGGCATGTAGATCATGAGATAAACACTGAAGAAGAGGACTGCAACCAGTCCAAGGGAGGTCCACAAAACAACATTGAAGTACTGGATTTGGAACATGGTCTTGTAAGGAGTGACCCATTCTCCATAAGCGTTGTAGTATCCGTATCCGTAGTAACCGTTGTTGTTGTTTTGGTTACCTGCATCGGCATCGCCGTCTGCATCGGCATCACCGTCTGCATCGGCTTCTTGTTCGAGGCGGCGTTGGTTGCTTGTGGCACCTCGGGCTCCGCTCTCCTTCAAGCGACGCGATCCATCTTCTTCTTCAACAACCAAGTGAAAAACGACCTTCTTTTCGGTGGAATATTCTTTGAGCAGAGAAGCTAGCTGATCATCGATATCAGCCGCATTGGCCGAAGAAACATCGAAATGTATTCCGGAGATGCCGGATTCTTGGGCTTGGCTTTCGACGGCACTCTTCAAGGATCCAGCCGCGTCATAATCTTGCTTGCTCTTTACGTTGTTCATCATCTTCTTGCATTGGTGTCCTGACACCTGCATGTGCCCGACAACGCGGTCATCCTCCTGTTCGTCAACGTCCTTCAAGAGACTGCTGAGGGTTGGCATGCGATCGAGGTCGATGCCGCTTCCCGTCAGGCCCAAAACGACACCACTTTCGGGTCGGCTAAAGAGATCGGGAACAACKGGCATGCCAGCGTGCTGGAGTTTGCGGCCATAGCCGTGGAGGGCACTCCAGAAGGAGGCAACGCCGTCGACGGTGGTCTCCTCGGATCGCGAGGCGGTAGTCGTGCGGCGAACGGTGCCTGAAGCTCCGAGTTCGATGACAGCAACGCGGGTGGAAGCGTCGGCTGTCAGGGCCATAGCGGCGAGAGCAGCAATTACGAATTTGTTCATGGTGACAAGTTAATGCTTATAGTTTAATTCTACAGTGGACAGTTACGGATTCGATACCGAACTGATCATATACGAATGGTCAGTTCCTTGATGCCTGAGTTCAATACAAAATCCACTGCAAACCACTTCGGATGAGTCGTTGAAAGTCACTTCGATCTACTGGCTGTGTCTTTCGTAATAATCAACTACGGTACGGTAGAAACAAAGGATCGCTGTGAAGGAAGGCGACTCTCTTCCTGTAGAGGAGGCGAGCCTTGCTTGCGTCGGAGCGAGCATTGACGGCATGTATATATAGTTCCTAAATAACTGAATATTTATTATTGACGTTGAGACTGATATCATTGGAAATTGGATCGGCTTCTTATGTTCATACTTACACAGATACGTAAGAACTGAGGGATAACGTTATTCGCAACAGGGGTCATAAATAGGGACATTATTTTGCTATTTCCAAGACATAAAAACTGAGACARTGGGACTTACCAGAAACTCCCATCAACAACGATGAAGCAAGGAAGTAACTTACTACTGTACCTCGTTGCTCCAAACACTGAAGGAAGCATGAAAGTAGTTTTGCAGCTAGAGACATTGCTTTGCGGATTTGTTCAATCGCAGATACTAGTTGTACGAGTATTACCTTCCACTACCAGGATAGTATCGGAAATGTTACTACACGTCCTGGAATTATATTATTAACATGGAATTCGGAAAAGGCTCTTTCAGCGTTATAAAATACAATCGTTTTTAAATTTAAGAACTACAAAATAAATCAAAACAGACAGGATGCCTGCTGGCAAATACAAAAGAAAAAACAAGCGATCTTTTTGAACACAAKAGCGGTTGACCTCAGGTGCAGAAGCATATCTTTATGGCATGAACCAASATACATCTGATACATGCGCAAGGAATCCCAAATGAACACTCGCAAGAATTAAAGACCACAAACCGGCAACATTAGCAATGGTCATCGCCTCAGTAATCTTTATTGAAGGAGTGATTCATCCACGGACTCGGTTCACACGTTAGCATTTGTCGACGATCTTTGAGCAATGCCGAAACTCCCTCCGAGTTCTACCAACCGAAAGAAAGCTATTGATTTCAAAATCAATTCAAACTTCTATGAAATGAAAGCCTGATTCCGAATCAAAATTTTATAAACGTAGCAACAGCTGCTTCGGTCAACCCGGCCTCGATCACTTTAAAAATCGATTCGTTTCGGCATATAGATGCTCTTCATCTTTTCTTCCGTCATAAACGAGGTATCTTGTGGTGTTGTTGAAAGTTTCGGGCTGTTGCTGTTGGTCTTCATCGCAGTTTCCTGAAGACAGATTGAAGTTCGAGAGCACGAAAACAAGGTGAGACTTCAACACTGAGAAACAAAWGGCCTCGAAGAAATATCCATCGAATAGAATCGGGAATACCTTCGTACGCATGTTGAGTACGTACCTCGGAATGTCCAGCGATTCGGTTGCAGCTCGTCATCGATACTTGAGCCATCATTCCCTTGTCTTCCGCACTCAAGCGACATGTRGTGTCGTGCGCGTAATCGTTGCTAGTAGATTGTCGATTCATTGTTACGAAACTCGTGAAGTTACTTTGGTGTGTTCTTGTTGCCACTGGATAACAGTGAATGTGAAAAAATAAGAATCTGACATTCAAAAGGGAGATTCTAATTTTTTCCCTTCTCGGTGTCGTTATTTTTTGGAAGAATCGATCGGTTTCGTAGCTTTACTCCGTCTTTCCTTCAAGATGATCTTCAATTTTCGCTAAGTAATTCCTTCATGTTCTTTTTCGATACCAGATGACAGAATGACAGACATGCTCGCATGAGCATAAAGAATTTTAATAAGTACGACACCGTAATTATGGCCTTTTGCATGAGCCTTAAAGCGCGCCACGCACGTTGAAAATTGACGACATATTCTACCTTCCACGATTGATTCCGGACGTTAAGCTGTGCTACCGTGGAAGTGCTCGTCCCTTTCGGYGACATGGGTTCGTGGAATACAAAAAGTAAAAAGAACTAAAGCAGTATCACTTCAAAATTAAGCGCTAAAATAGTACAGTATGAAGTAATTTCTCCCGAAGAAAAATTATTTTGGAAGTGACGAAGTCCGAACCTGCACAAAGCATTGCTTTGCACTGAATGGGTGATTCTACTACTAGTAGTACTAGTAAGAACCATAGAATCTATGCTGACATACTTTGCGTCTATGACTTGACGGAAATAAAAATGTGACTACATAGATTTCTGACTTCATAGAATATGTCTCCCTACATGTGCTTAATTTGGAGTAATAGGAAATTTTGCTTGAAATTAACAATAATACTAACTGCTGTATTCTTGCCAACAAGAAGAAATATTGAGAACAAGAAGAAGAACACATGCATGATGGTGCCAGCAAGCATGCAAAAAACAATCCTAAGTATTGAGAACACATGGCGCAAAACAATCCAAAATGCCAGGTGGACCACCATGTAAAGTTCACTGACCTCCGAAGTATTTGTATGTGGTGGTAAACAGAGGAATTCTTATCTACTACTACTACTACTACTACTACTAGTACTAGCTAGCATCCTCAACAAAAGGACCCATGCTTCTATTGTCATAAAATTTCATTACATTATTTTACAGCTGTTTGTCTTTCATCAGTCAGCAGCATCTCTTCCTTGGGAATCTTCCATACTGTGCTCCAAACTATTACTAGTCTGCATCATGACATGGGTAATAGCCAGTGCTGGCAGTCCCCCCCAGTACCATATTCTTGCTTCTTGTGCTACTAGTCCAAACCATCTTGCCATTTTTGTTTCTTTATTCTGCCTCATCTAGTAGTAAGTAATATGTCCAATCATACCATTCAAATTCCATCCATATTCCAATATCTGGAGTGTATCCCATTACCAACTTGTCATACAGGAGTGTGTGTCCCTCATTATGAGGTGTATTGGTGGATGCAGTGATCCCTCTTTTGCCACACACATACAATCCAAGGAAAGCCCATACCCTTCTAGGACTGTTTTTTTGCACAAGTAGTATTGTTTCATGATCTCTTGTTCAATTCTTAATTGTAAATTCTCCTATTAGTCCATAATGTGCTTGACCTTTTGTTTTGTCAGGAAAAATCTAGCATATTCTTTTCCATTTGTTCTGACCAAGGTGATGGTACTCTTAAATTTGTAGAAAGTTGTGTTTGCTGAGTACCATTGCAATATTCTGTGATCTTGAGCACTCATAAATACACCAGTTGGTTCTCAGATCTGTTGCTAGTATGTGCTGCTACATTCTTGTTGGTTTTGAATCAGGCGCCATATGGTTCCTAGGCGCTATCAGACATCACCACCCCTACAAATGATGTGGACTCATCTTGAAGTTCAGCAGTTGTTGGCTTTCTTGTATTGAAAAAGGAGGATATTACACCATCCATTTGTAAGGGGGTAGAAATGTTGTGTGTTGACAGATCATCATATTGGGTTGGTGTGTTTTTCACTATATTCCTAGCATCCTCACATATTTGGTTTGGGCACGGCAAAGATGTTTTAACTCGGTTACCCAAGTATATAACTTGCCCAAATATTAACAATGATATTTGTCCTGTGTTATTGCAGTCATATGTTGTAGTAAACATTCCTATGGGGATAATTGTGATCTTTTGATGGTTAGTGGATACAAATGGTTCCATGTCAACTTTGGGTGTAACCTTGTTTATTACTTGCTGCAACCACAGTATTGGCAGCATGTAAGTCTGAATTCACACCAATCTAAGGATTGGCTATCAAACACTCCTTGGCTGGCTTTATGTAAGTGTGCTCCTGGTCTGTTCACTACTTTGACCTGTCTCTCATCAAATAGTCATTGGACCTTCTGTTTTTTGCTAGCTTTGCCACTATTGTATTCTTTACCCTTCTGCGCTGCAACTGCAGCTGCTTGTTTCCATTACCAGTGTTACTATCTTTATTGTTCTGTTTTTCTATTTTGGCATCATTCTGTTGCCTTTGAAGTCCAGCTTTTTGCTCTGGTGTGAACTTCTACTAGCTTTCCCCTGAACTTAGGGTTGTTGTTCCTTGTTAAACTGCTCAATATGTTCTATATCTGCCAAGAGCTGCCTCCACTTGATGAATCTGCTGCATATTTCATGCTTGTTAATAGCGTCTGACGGTATTGGTGGCATTCAGTAAAGTTTTTTATGTGTAACTTACTACCACCATAGATGTAGCTTTTTGCAGCCTCTAATCTTGCATCATTGATATTAGCAAGGAAGTCCATTACCTTTTCTGTTTCAGAGACTGGTTCCTCCTTGACAGCTAAAGGATTGTATGCTTTTTGGTACTTTGCCAAATACATGTCAAATGTCCAGTTTGTCTTGGCGCATTCCATGTAGTATCACTGATCATCTTCCACACCTTGTTAATCTTAATCTCACCTGAGTTGCTAGTCTCCCCCTCTAGTATCATGAGAGTCAACCGGCTGCCTTCTTGAAGAAGGCCTCGCATACTCTTCTGTTATCATGTCAATGCCCCCATGGGACATCACCAATGTGTACATTGTGCACATACTACCACCATTGGTTACTAGTAGTAGTATCTATGGTATTTGTGTCTCTTTCTTGCTTGCCTGTCACTTGTGTGGTGCTTGGCATTTTGGCAGATAACATGGGACAATGGGCATGTTGCTGCCTCAGTTACTAATTGCTTTTAGGTAGGTGGTGAAAGAGTCCTTGAATTCATCCCATTTACTAAACCTAGTAAACTTTGTTGGCTTATTGATAGACCTCTCATTGTTAGTAGCTGCCTTTATTGCTTAAAGCTGTTTCATTCTTTTCTTTGTGTCGTCAATTTCTCATGGTGTACTAATGCACAAAATAACGTGTACTACTAGATATAGACACTGTGTAAACTGAATTATAATGAATTATCTGATGTGCAAGTCTAGATCTCCTTTCACATGCTTTGCCATGATGTAGGTGATCAGAATGTGCTTTCTGTAGCTCTGATCCACTGTAGATCTTAATCGTGAATCTACTGGACACTTTGCTTTGTTGTCTGCTTTGCAGTTTCAGTGCTAGGAGTCATGGTGATTTTGTTTGTTGCTGTCTGCTACATAGCTATATTAGTTCTTTTTGTGAGTGCTCATCCTGTTGCTATTTGTTTAATCTAGTAGTACTTATCAGTACCATTTTCATTGCAAATAAGTGCCATTGTATTTTTGGTGTGCCTGCCAGCAATACCAGTTTCATCATGTATGAATATTATCATTGGCTTGTTATTTTCCCCTCATTGGGAGGGGGGCTAGGCCCTACTAGTATGAGCTGCAGACTCATGCACCTGCTGTATCTTTATCATGCTACGTACTGTGTTAGGTGTATCATTGGTATACTGCAGACAAGACCCAGCTCCTGGGCATCTGAATACCTCCTCAGGGAGCTACCCTTTGTTATACTAGTATGCACTAGCTCGTTGTACTATAGTTACTCCAAGGGTGTATGATTCATTAAATCCCATGGTCAAACTGTTTATTTTCTGGATCTCATAAACTGACGAGCAAAAATATGTGTAAGTAAGAGTAATACATACTGTAGTAGGCATGTAATTGGTATTCTATAAATCAAATTATTAGCTATCTGGCAACACACTGTATGTTTGTCCCATTTGTGACTAATGAATCAGCAATACAAAGCTATTGCTCATTATGCCCACTATTGATCATTATGCCCAGTTCTTGCATATAACTTCATTCACGTCACAAAAAGTGATCGCACCCTCTCGCACGCTCTCACGNGGGAAAAGGGCCATGAGATTCTAATTTGAGCATAGAAAAACACGCGCGGGAATTTGTTTTCGGGCACGGAGGAAATTTAAAACACCATTATATCGGTTTGTGTGACGTACTTTGCGTCTATGACTTGACGGAAATAAAAATGTGACTACATAGATTTCTGACTTCATAGAATATGTCTCCCTGCATGTGCTTAATTTGGAGTAATAGGAAATTTTGCTTGAAATTACTAGTAACAAGAATAATAACTGCATTCTTGCCAGCAAGAAATATTGTTGAGAAGAACAGCAAGAACACATGCATGATGGTGCCAGCAGCGAGCACGCAAAAAAAATCCTAAGTATTGAGAAGAACACATGGCGCAAAACAATCCAAAATGCCAGGTGGACCATGTAAAGTTCACTGTCTCCGAAGTATTTGTATGTGGTGGTAAACAGAGGAATTCTTATCTACTACTACTAGTAGTAGTACTAGTAGCTAGCATCCTCAACAAAAGGACCCATGCTTCTATTGTCATAAAATTTCATTACATTATTTTACAGCTCTTTGTCTTTCATCAGTCAGCAGCATCTCTTCCTTGGGAATCTTCCATACTGTGCTCCAAACTATTAGTCTGCATCATGACATGGGTAATACTAGCCAGTGCTGGCAGTCCCCCCCAGTACCATATTCTTCTTGCTGCGCTACTAGTCCAAGCCATCTTGCCATTTTTGTTTCTTTATTCTGCCTCATCTAGTAGTAAGTAATATGTCCAATCATACCATTCAAATTCCATCCATATTCCAATATCTGGAGTGTATCCCATTACCAACTCATACAGGAGTGTGTGTCCCTCATTATGAGGTGTATTGGTGGATGCAGTGATCCCTCTTTTGCCACACACAAACAATCCAAGGAAAGCCCATACCCTTCTAGGACTGTTTTTTTGCACAAATAGTATTGTTTCATGATCTCTTGTTCAATTCTTAATTGTAAATTCTATTAGTCCATATGTGCTTGACCTTTCGTTTTTGTCAGGAAAAATCTAGCATCTTCTTTTCCATTTGTTGTGACCAAGGTGATGGTACTCTTAAATTTGTAGAAAGTTGTGTTTGCTGAGTACCATTGCAATATTCTGTGATCTTGAGCACTCATAAATACACCAGTTGGTTCTCAGATCTGTTGCTAGTATGTGCTGCTACATTCTTGTTGGTTTTGAATCCGGCGCCATTTGATTCCTAGGCGCTATCAGACATCACCCCTACAAATGATGTGGACTCATCTTGAAGTTCAGCAGTTGTTGGCTTTCTTGTATTGAAAAAGGAGGATATTACACCATCCATTTGTAAGGGGGTAGAATTGTTGTGTGTTGACAGATCATCATATTGGGTTGGTGTGTTTTTCACTATATTCCTAGCATCCTCACATATTTGGTTTGGGCACGGCAAAGATGTTTTAACTTGGTTACCCAAGTATATAACTTGCCCAAATATTAATAATGATATTTGTCCTGTGTTATTGCAGTCATATGTTGTAGTAAACATTCCTATGGGGATAAATTGTGATCTTTTGATGGTAAGTGGATATAAATGGTTCCATGTCAACTTTGGGTGTAACCTTGTTTATTACTTGCTGCAACCACAGTATTGGCAGCATGCAAGTCTGAATTCAAACCAATCTAAGGATTGGCTATCAAACACTCCTTGGCTGGCTTTATGTAAGTGTGCTCCTGGTCTGTTCACTACTTTGACCTGTCTCTCATCAAATAGTCATTGGACCTTCTGTTTTTTGCTAGCTTTGCCACTATTGTATTCTTTACCCTTCTGCGCTGCAACTGCAGCTGCTTGTTTCCATTACCAGTGTTACTATCTTTATTGTTCTGTTTTTCTATTTTGGCATCATTCTGTTGCCTTTGAAGTCAAGCTTTTTGCTCTGGTGTGAACTTCTAGCTTTCCCCTGAACTTAGGGTTGTTGTTCCTTGTTAAACTGCTCAATATGTTCTATATCTGCCAAGAGCTGCCTCCACTTGATGAATCTGCTGCATATTTCATGCTTATTAATAGCGTCTGACGGTATTGGTGGCATTCAGTAAAGTTTTTTATGTGTAAACTACTACCACCATAGATGTAGCTTTTTGCAGCCTCTAATCTTGCATCATTGATATTAGCAAGGAAGTCCATTACCTTTTCTGTTTCAGAGACTGGTTCCTCCTTGACAGCTAAAGGATTGTATGCTTTTTGGTACTTTGCCAAATACATGTCAAATGTCCAGTTTGTCTTGGCGCATTCCATGTAGTATCACTGATCATCTTCCACACCTTGTTAATCTTAATCTCACCTGAGTTGCTAGTCTCCCCCTCTATCATGAGAGTCAACCACACTTTTTTAGTCATCTTGCATGATGCTGTCATACTTTTAATGAATTCCCATGCTGTGGTCATGAATGCGGCTGTCTTCTTGAAGAAGGCCTCCCATACTCTTCTGTTATCATGTCAATGCCCCCATGGGACATCACCAATGTGTACATTGTGCACATACCACCATTGGTTAGTAGTAGTATCTATGGTATTTGTGTCTCTTTCTTGCTTGCCTGTCACTTGTGTGATGCTTGGCATTTTGGCAGATAACATAGGACAATGGGCATGTTGCTGCCTCAGTTAATCATTGCTTTTAGGTAGGTGGTGAAAGAGTCCTTGAATTCATCCCATTTACTAAACCTAGTAAACTTTGTTGGCTTATTGATAGACCTCTCATTGTTAGCTGCCTTAATTGCTTTAAGCTGTTTCATTCTTTTCTTTGTGTCGTCAATTTCTCATGGTGTAATGCACAAAATAACGTGTACTACTAGATATAGACGCTGTGTAAACTGAATTATAATGAATTATCTGATGTGCAAGTCTAGATCTCCTTTCACATGCTTTGCCATGATGTAGGTGATCAGAATGTGCTTTCTGTAGCTATGATCCACTGTAGATCTTAATCGTGAATCTACTGGACACTTTGCTTTGTTGTCTGCTTTGCAGTTTCTTCAGTGCTAGTCATGGTGATTTTGTTTGTTGCTGTCTACTACATAGCTATATTAGTTCTTTTTGTGAGTGCTCATGCTGTTGCTATTTGTTTAATCTAGTAGTACTTATCAGTACCATTTTCATTGCAAATAAGTGCCATTGTATTTTTGGTGTGCCTGCCAATACCAGTTTCATCATGTATGAATATTATCATTGGCTTGTTATTTTCCCCTCATTGGGAGGGGGGCTAGACCCCAGTAGTATGAGCTGCAGACTCATGCACCTGCTGTATCTTTATCATGCTACATACTGTGTTAGGTGTATCATTGGTATACTGTAGACAATACCCAGCTCCTGGGCATCTGAATACCTCCTCAGGGAGCTACCCTTTGTTATACTATGCACTAGCTCGTTGTACTACTATAGTTACTCCAAGGGTGTATGATTCATTAAATCCCATGGTCAAACTGTTTATTTTCTGGATCTCATAAACTGAGCAAAAATATGTGTAAGTAAGAGTAATACATACTGTAGTAGTAGGCATGTAATTGGTATTCTAAAATCAAATTATAAGCTATCTGGCAACACACTGTATGTTTGTCCCATTTGCGACTAATAAATCAGCAATACAAAGCTATTGCTCATTATGCCCACTATTGATCATTATGCCCAGTTGCATATAACTTCATTCAGCACTTCAACACTCCAAAAAAAAATCTACATGATTCAGACCACCAGTGTCACCCCACCATGTGAAACATCCTTGACTTTAAAAAGCTGATGTCGTAGAACAGAAAACACCAGTGAAGACTGACCAAACCAACTAACTTCCAACACCAGCACCAACACCAGCACCAACACCAGCACCAACACCAAAGGAGAGTAGGAACTACCAATGAAGACTGACTCATCCTTCTTCCATCAACGTACTACTTGTTCCTCTTCATACTATTAGTAGTACTACCAGCACCTACTATCATGGCCCATGAAGAGTCACCAACAGCAATCAACCACCACTGGTGAAAATTTCTGAACAAACTGCCACTCATGTTACAATTTCTCCCCAAACAAAAYACAAGTCTTGAACCCCTCTCTTTAGGGGCTCAATTCTTCATCCAGGATGAAAAGACTCAGAAAAGGATGTTCAGCAAAACTTTGAATGTGTTCTGTCAAGACAGAACACCCATGGTAAAGTGCACTTGCTCTGACACATTGSTAGTAGAAATCATATGATACAGAAGAATATTTTTCAGTGATGTGACCCCAGAAGGGCATGGTAATRCTAGACTAGAACTGTMACAGATTCTTTGCTATAGTGCCGCAGCAAAAATGTTCTCTGAATTYAATGTAATCTCTGACRATTAGACGGTTCTGTTGGCGGTATTATCAATCCGATAGTATTCAGAAAATCCCTGTCCCAATCGATACAGGTTACAAACGTTATCTGTTTTGACATTCTACGTATTCTCTGGAACATCTGGATGACGAAAAAGATGATACCGATTTAGAAAAGAATTGTGTGGTATGAACCTACTACTATGAATTCCGCATTCCTTTCAKAGAAAATCGATTGCCCTAGTAWCTTCAAATTTGATGTTCTGCAATCGACATCGAAGTAAAAAATATCCCAGTTTCCATCGCCAATTGCRTCACAACATATCGTACTTCAGCAAATGYKATTACTCGAATAAATRCCTGACATCTCGTTTTCCGTCAAATGTCCTGGAATTCGATTGCATTCAAAGCACACCCATCCCAACTTTCAAACGTGTCATCGAATTAGGATTTGATAAGTAACATTGATTGGAACATGTCTTCGACTAGCTAATCATCTTTAGTATTCTTAAGCGACCTTCGTAAGTGCATCGTCGACCGAAATTTTTCTTTTGGGTGCCGTAATATCGCTAAGGGGCTTGGCAGGCATTCCGTACCAAATAACACCGATCATTTTTTCGTCTTCGGGGGCACCTGCAATCTTCATGATTTCAGTTGGATCAACTCCCAAAGCCCCAGTCATCCACTTGGTTCCTACACCGTCCTCAGCCAAGGATTGCATAAAATTTTGTGCAGCACACGCTACAGTTGCATGATCCTCCAACGCAAGTTTGGCCGAAATGCCACCATTTTCATCAAGATGTTCGGTCTTTACAGAGAAGACCATCCATCCGGGAACACCTGCAAACATCTTTGCTTTGTCCTCGTTCAAAGCAGTGATTTTTGCGACAGCCTCAGGACCGAGATCGTACATGCGAGTCGGTTCCGACAGGAAATGGTTTGGCGCCATCAAAGCGGCTTTTGGACGATAAAGGAAGAAAACAGGCGGTGAGTTCACCACGAATTTGATGAGGATGATAAGAGACTCGGGGCCAATTTATTTCCGTCATGGGAAGGCGTCTCTGGCGCCACTTACCTTCGGCGGCTTTGGTAACGGCATCTTCCGGAACTTTGTCGTCGGTGAAYTTTGCGACGGATCGTCGGATGGGAAGTCCCTGTGCAATGGAAAAGGTGAATGCCGATGTAGCAGCAGGGAGGGCGGCGAGGATTAGAGCGGTAAGTTTCATTTTAAAAAATCGTTTGATCCGGATCTGTTTCTTCCAAGAAATGATTTTGTGTCTGCCGTAGCTGTGYTCGAACAAAATGGCCAGWTGGGATCTCTGTGACGGATGATCGGTCAAAAAGATCGGCCGTTTGGAACTCATTCGGCGTTAGTGATGCTGAAAAATTCAAGTTTCGATGCTACTGTATTAAAAGTACTCGTACGTACCATGCCCTACTACAGGTMTTTCTGATCGGTGCGAGTTCCCCGTTCGCTACCATACCGACAAAGCCGGTATTTTGAACTGACAATTTTGAAATACGTCATACCCTACTCACGAATCAATCGATCCCGTGTGAGTGAGGAGACAACAGCTGCCATCAATCAATTTTATCGACAGTTTTTTAAAAAAACTCAATCCTTTCAGATTTTTGTTCTCCATGAAAACGACACAGGGCCTGATGATCTCTCGCCAAGCCGTGTATCACTATTTCTCGCCTTGCATGAGGAAGGATTTATTCTTGAGGATCTAACAGATCGACGAACAGAGCGTCAAACACTCCTACGAAGATGACATCCAAACGTCTATGTCAAGTATGCCAGAAGGAGGCCACCAAAAAATGCTCGAGATGCAGCCTGGYGTGGTATTGTTCAGCAGAATGTCAGAAAAAGGACTGGAAAAAACACAAATCCGTTTGCAACTCGGCGTATCAGACGAATCAATACGAATTGCACAAAAAAGCATTCGATGCTGTTATTGAGAAGTAYGACCTGAAGACAGAACAAAAGTCGAACGAAATTGCTGAATTACTGACCAACGGAACGGATGGTGTCAATGCGGCGGAATTTGCCAGCAAATTCGGTATGGAGGTCCAAGAAGCTGTTGTTTTTCTAGAATGGATCAAGGTCGGAATAGACTTCAAAACGAAGGCTATCGACACAGCGAAACAAGCGGGGTTCAGTGATATTGCGAAGAAAACGAAGAAAAGATAGCTTTAGAGTCCATAATTCTTGAAGCGATCGTCGATGCACTGCAGTTTCCTTGTTAGGCGCTATCGGCACTGMGAAATACACTGGTGCTGAGGACGACCCTGAGGTACATGGATTATGTTGACACAATTGATGGATCGAGCTTAACAGAAGTCGCTGTGTATATCATTCGTATTTGAGAACAAAGGTATTTTCATCACAAAAGAATTCGTTGCCCCTTCTCTATCACAACGGTCATTTTTCAGTTTTGATAAGATCAAGGACATAGAATATGTACAGCGTAGTGCATGTCTGCTGCTCAAAGATGTCCTTGGCTTTTGTCGCGTTCAGCGTACAAAAGTATTGCCAGAATTGGACACAAAGGATAAAAATTCTACAGATAGTTTTTCCTAATTCCGTACGGTCCTTGATAAAACGTGAAGAGARCATCACGACTTTTTGAAAGTAAGAAAATAAGTATTCACCGACATTCCTGGATGAAGTGGATCCAGGTAGCACGRCATGTTATTATAATCGTAGCTGGAAAGTTCCTCGCAACGCGTATCTTTCCATATTCATCACATCAGCRTATCTGGTAACCGAGTTCTTCAGACAACACCTTGTCATCTAGATCAATACGCATCATCGAAACTAAGAGTATTTGTTCGCTTAAACGCACCAAAAATCATAATGACTCAAACTTCCAATTTGCAATTCTTGGACCCTAAACAATTATGATAGTAAAACAAAAAAGTATTAYTGGCTATTTCTCTAGAATTGTGCACCTCGAAAGACATGTAAACCTGTCGCTTCATACTTCTCTATGATCTACCAGACATCTTCTTGTGCATGTCAACTCTAAGCACCATTGCGGTGCTTGTGCAATTTTACAGAAACATCATCCTTGGGTGCTAGCTGTTTAGTACTAGTACTAGTAGTACTAGTACTACTAGTAGTCCTGAAAGGTAAGACTGTTTTTGGTACAGAATYAGTAGATTATGTGGATTATGGTAGCTCCTGGGTCTTTTGAATAGAAGCTTCGTAGGGCTTCGGGATTGCCCAATCAAAGCAGTCCATTGCTTCAGATGAGATGAAGACGATGGTCCTGTCGTAAGAATGGTGTGAAATGTTGTACCTTTACTTACTACTACATCATTTTTTACAGAAAACAAAGGCTGAATGATGCGAGAAGAGATGCRTGATGCTGTCTATCCAAGTGCAGGGCCTAGAGCTACTAAGTACATGCCCCATAACGGCAAGTTATTGGCAATTCCCCAGGTGTCAATTTTTTCTCATTTTCCCGTCTTTATTTCCCCCCCTCTCCCCCCCTCCACCACACAAATAACTAAGAAACCCCAAAATATTTCTACTACTATTAGTGGGCCTTACTAGCTACAAGGAATATCAAATCATTGCTTATCTCCAGTATTGCATTAAGGACCACTAATAGAAATATTTTGGTACTAGCGAGAAATTAAACAATGGAAATATTTTTATTTTTGTCTGTTGGATGCTTTTTTTAACTGGTTTTAACTGTAAAAATGAATTAAAAATTTCTATTAGTATTTGTATGGGGATTGCCAATAACTTGCTATTATGGGGCCCGTACTTWGTAGCTCTAGCATGGMYGATACGGAAATACTGTGCAGATATTAATCAATAATGCAACTAATTTTGCAAAAGTAGGAAATCATGTACAAGTCTATGTAGGTACACATCATAGTGTTTCCTACTGCCAGCATACCATGTGTGCAGATCAAAAATCTGCTAAGTCGGTTGAGCAGAATTACTTGCATCATCAAGCATAAGGCAATTTCCATAATAAACAGACCTATGATGGGGGTAATTCTTGACAATAACAGAAACATATAACTATTACATTATACTAAGATCTTAGAGGGGGAGGACAAGTAGTTAGTAGCTAGTACTACTAGTGTACCAAAGCAACTTGTATCAGCAGACACCGTATCAGTGGCTCATATCAGTGGCTCGTATCAGCATCCTCCCTATCAGCAGTGAGCCTCCGTATCAGCAGCTCGTATCAGCGGCTTGTATCAGCTTCCTCAGTACTATCAGCAACTCATACGTCACATATCAGCAAGCCTCTGTATCAGCGTGTGTCCTCCATACTATCAGTGAGTGTCCTCTGTATCAGTGAGCGTCCTCTGTATCAGTGAGCCTCTGTACTATCAGCAGCTTGTACTATCAGCATCCTCCATTTCAGCTGACACCGTATCAGCGGGTCTCCGTATCAGCAATTTGTAACAGTGACTCATATCATTGAGCCTCCGTATCAGTAGCGAGCCTCCGTATAAGCATCCTCCGTATCACTGAGCCTCCATATCAGCAATTTGCATCAGCGAGCATCCTCCGTATCAGCGAGCATCCTCCATATCAGCAAGCGTCCTCCGTATTAGCAACTCATATCAGCGTCCTTATCAGCATCTCTGTATCAGCGGCTCGTATCAGCGGCTCATATCAGCAGCTCCTCTGTATCACTGGCTTGTATCAGCATCCTCCATAGTATTAGCAAGTCCCGTCCTATGATGGATCCGCACCAATACTGATGCGGCTCCTCTGTATCAGCATCCTCCGTATCACCGGCTCATATCAACGGCTCCTCCGTATCACCAGCATCCTCTGTATCAGCGTCCTCCGTATCAGTGAGCCTCCGTATCAGCAGACACCGTATCAGTGAGCCTCCGTGTCAGCAGACGCCGTATCAGGAGCTTCCCTATATCAGCAAGCATCCTCCGTATCAGCAACGAGGGTACGTATCAGTAGCAAGCCTCCGTATCAGCCACAAGTGTCCTCCGTATCAGCATCGTATCAGCATCCTCCGTATCACCAGCGGACACTGTATCACCAACTCGTATCAGTGACTCTTATCAGCAACTCTTATCAGCTCTTATCAGCAGACACCGTATCAGCGGACACCGTATCAGCGGACACCGTATCAGCGAGCCTCCGTATCAGTGGAAGCCTCTGTATCAGAAGCTCCTCTGTGTCCTTCTTTGAAGGAAATAGTGATCAAATAACGTGCTAGTTTACACCTCCATACTGAGTTGTGTGAATGAACAGA